GATATCCATTTTCAGCTAAATCAATTGCGGGTTGTAAAATTTCTGCCAATTTTAAATTTCCTCTCCCAAACCAATTAATAGTGTCAACCCATCCTGCAGCAGCTCCGGGAACAGTTGCAGAGTTTATATTTAATAATGGTATGTGATTTTCATCAATTCCAAGATCGTTACGTACATATTCCAAAGTAATATTAGCAGGAGATCTTGAGTTTATAATTTAAAAAGTTTTGAAAACATAATTAATATTATATGAATTGTTTTTTTGAACTCCAACGAGTTATTATGCAATGGATTAATAAATTAATAATACCTTCCAGACCCATTCAATCCATTAACTTTCTTAGTCTTTGCATCATAAAAAAGACAAAAACAATCACCGCCTATTCCTGTTGAACCTGGTTCTTTGAAATAAATTAATATGTTGCATTATATTAAATCATAACGTAAATAAAAACAGCTTAATAAAATACAATAATATATGAACAATATGTATAATATGATACCAGTCACATTTAGTGCGGCAGCTGATTTCATAAAAAAAAAAACGTCAACAATATCTTATATTCAAATCACATAAAAATCTTAATTTTGCTAGAACATACCAACAGCAACAGCAGCATCCTATTCCCACACAATATAAAAATGAATCAACCAAGAAGATTTTAAATTATTCGATGGTATTTCTTAAGATATAAATATGAGATATATATAAAATAATTACTGCAGCATTTCCGCCCTTTTTTAATATATCTAGACCTGCCTGGCACGCTAAGGGTTGACTATGTGCATACAAAAGGTGTCATTAACATGAAAAGTACTTATAATGCCAAATAATTAACTCAGATACGGTATCAGCTTTTAGCTTTTTATATCGACTGAAAATGACTTTCATTGATATGTTACGGTTAACTCTGGATATAACGAATCATGAAAAACACAACATATGACGAAGTCAATAAATAAAATTAAATTTGCTATAAAACTTTGGAGTTAAGTTCAGACAGATAGAGATCGTGATATTTTTTACTATAAGCCATCATTACGCTATATCCAGACTTCGTAGAAGACATATCGTATCATTACTTATCCCACTAACCTAAATGCCACCATCGCATGAGTACCGAACACTACGGATCTTCGTGATGGAAATCGAATAAATGGCTCTGATTCTGTCACCTTTAATCTAAAAATCAACAATAACGATAACGATAGCGATAGCGATAGCGATAATATGTAACAATTTATGCACACTTCACGATACTTGTGTACAGTAATTTATGCACACTGCACATGACACATGCTTGGCGTTATTATTAGCATTACCGTTACGTTTATACAAGTAATTGCTTTTTACTCGCTACTGTACTAAAATGGTTCTAGAGATTCTAGAAAGATTCAATGCCTGGGTAGCTAATTGGTTTGGGAGAGGAAATTTAAAATTGGCAGAAATTTTACAACCCGCAATTGATTTAGCTGAAAATGGATATC